CTAACCCCTTCCCAACCTCAAACCCTCTTCCACCTTTCTGATTCGCCCTACTGCCCCACCCTTCCATTCTCTCATCCCATTTCCTAAAATGTCCCACTCTCTTATTAATAAATCTTAAGGATTACAAATGAAATTGATATAAAACTTCATAGATGATGTCACCAGATCACTAACTGTGGGTTGTATTTTACATATCAGTGTTGTTTTATTAGTATTTTGCAACTTGACTGATTTTCTGGAGAACTGGAGTGCACAACCTGGGTGGTATAATCGACGTACTCATTGTATCATCACCTCCAACTCAAACCACCCCAACTCCCATCTCTCCCCCTCCCCTTATAGGTTTCTTGCATGATGTCATCAGTCCCTACTAACTGATGGTTGTGTTTTAGATATCAGTATTTCATAGAGGAAACAAACTTGTTGATTTGCTTGAGTAAGCAGACACACACACGATCTAGGTTGTGTGACTGCTGTATGCTATCATTACCCTCAATCCAAACTGACCTCCACCCGCCTTCCCACCCTCACTCCTTTCCCTCTACCCTTTCCACTGCCCCACCCACCCTATCCCCACCCCCATCTCAATTGTCCCATCCTATCAATTAATGTCAAGTATTCCAAGAGTTTTATTATGTGATTGATGTTGCCATTAGTTGGTAGCTTCACTTCACAATATAACCTTTTGCAGTTGAGATGCCTTCTCTGACTTCCTGGAGTACTCTGGGTTCACAATCGTTCCTAGTTGTGTGACTGATGTGTTCCTCCTATTACCACCTCCACCCCCCACCTTCTCTTGTTCTTACCCCTCTCCCCACTGACCTTCTAGCCCACCCCACAATTCCACCCTCGCTATCAATTAATGTCAAGTATTACAAGTGAAATCAATACTTAAAGTCTGTTTTCACTATATCACTGGATTTGCCAGCAGTTATTGGTTTTATTTTATGATAGCATAAAATATGCTGATTTGCTGAAGTACTCGGGCACACACCTGATGTGGGGTTGTGTGACTGATGTGTTAAGAACCCCTTCTTCCTCCCCACCCCACTCTGACCCTCCCACCCTCCTGACTCTGCACCACATTCCCACTCTGCTAGCCCCTTCATCTGAGGCTGGTGACGCTGAAATGATAAGGACACAATGTGCACTTAACCACTAAATCTTTATTGAATATTTTGTTATAACAGCAATACAGTATTAGTAAATAGAAATACAGAGTAAAGAGAATACAGCAATAATTGAAGGAGGGGTGAGGGCTGGGGTGGGAAGGTAGGGAAAATGGGTAGGAATAGGGAGGGAGGGTTACTAACAGGGGCAAAACAAGGATTTTTATTCATAATTTTCCTGTAATTTTCATAACTATTGAGCAGCCAATTACTATCATTCGAATCACAAATTTCTCAAAGGTGAACATACATTTATTTATTATCATTCCAATAACAAATTTCTCAAGGGTATCTTGATATGGTGTAATTTTCAGAATGTAACTCCCTAGAGCTAACAACACCTAGGGCATCTATTGAATTTTTAATCAAATCACTTTTGATGTTTCATTAGGGTTTTATCCATGTCCAATTCATTTTAAAACAGGCTGATCTCCCTGTAGTTCCCTCCAAATTTACTGGAAAGTTTTAAGGACAGAAAGGGTAAGGGGTCACAAGTAAGGAGTACACTTATCGAAATAGCTAATACATGATAGAATCCTAACTTCCTAAGCAAACCCTCCCACTTAAGATCACTACTAGACCCTCCCACCCTAAATACTAATGATTATATGTATCCCCCTAATTACCTAAAGCGATTACATAAAAGAAAAAAAAAATGAAATTTGCCACAGACCAATTCAAAATTCGAAAGCGTTCTACAATCTGCAACAACAACAAAGAACTTCCAGTCCATTGGGTAGATGTTCTTCCAGTTTCACCAGGCACGTCTTCCTCTCCGGAGGTGGTCTTTCACTGCTGCCCAGTTTCTTCCAGCCTGGGGTCCTCTGCTGCCAGTCTTGTCTGATGTTAGACGTCTGTGGCGATGACAACCGGATCAATTCAGGAGTCCTGGAGGTACCTGCAAACTCAACAGAATGCCAGCCTGCACCAATCAATGGTGCCTCTCTTATTTTGTACATCTGTAACCACACAAGATCTAATCAACTACAAATACCTCATTGCTCAAACTAAACTGACCCTTCATGAACGCTTCCAACTTCCTGTTTCAATATCCTAGCATGATGACCTTAGCTAGTTCTCTCTAAGCTTGCTTACTTAAGCATGGGAGAGCTGAGATCTTCTCTCTCCTTGTTTTAATTAACAAACATGTAAACTTTCGCCAAAAGCCAATTAATTTTCTCAAATTGTTTCTCAGATAATTAATTTTCTCAGATTGTTTCTCAACTATTGGTTTTGCTAATAATTCTGATGTTTCGATTTATATATCACCTTCAAATTTTGTTTTACTCCTTCTCAATCTTCTTTATCCTTTGCTTGTTCCTTTCTTAATGAAAATAAAGACATATTTGTTGGAAAATGTAAAAACAAATTTCAAGGATTGAATTAACAAATTTGATCAGTAACAACCAAAAAAACCCAAATTGAATGAAAGGAAACTTAGTCAAATGCCAATATGATGGAACAATAAATTTGGGATTACTTATCATTAACATCTAGTACTTATAGACAACACACACAGCAATACAGCATTGTACACACTGCCAGAAAGTCCATCCAAGCTTCAGGAAACAGCCAGATGTGTGCCAGGGACTTGGTGAGTCATAAACTCACACCTGCATGCTCTCCCTGACTGCTGTTGTTGTTGCTGGCCAACTTCTCCAGGCTTCTGCTTGCGGTGGTGGCAAATGTCCGTGTGTACATGCCAGGGTGGGGGCAGGGGTGCTGCAGAGCGAGGCCGGGGTCTAGGCACCTCTGCAGCTTGCAGATCAGTCACTGCCTGTGAAGGCTGACACTGAACAGCGTGAGTTCAAAGGTATGGAGGATGGATTGATCTGAGGTAAACTGAAGTAACGCTTCAAAAGAGTCCAGAAGCACAAATGCACCATTGTAAAAGTAATTATTCTAAATATACAAGGGATAGACAAGCTTTCTAATTCCATTGAAGAAAAAAAAAGAAGCTGGTTTTAGATTAAACAAGCAGCCAATTAGGTTTCTTCATTTAACTCGTAGATCCTTCGGTGTGATTTTTTAAAAAGCCAATTGATAAAATTGAAATACTTGATATTATCAGATTAAAAGATGAACAACTATAAACACTCCAGGTGTGAGGAGCCCCTCATTCACAGTGTTGTAAGAAGTTCACAGTAAAGAAACACTTTAGGAGATGGTACGCATCATTTTTTTTTTCTTAGCTTATCAGTAACAATTAGTTCTGTTATTCAATGGAAATTTTTGAAAGCAGAGTCACCACTTAAAAAGACTGTCAAGGGACATCACTATAGCTAAAACATATTCAAACATGCAAGAGGGAGGGGTGATAATGACTACGTGAGGATGAGGTTAATGAGAAAGGAAACTTCACCATTAGACTCCTCTTCATGACAGCAATTTGAAAGGTCAACCATACTATGTCTCTACTGCTCAAACTGCGTGTTGGCAACAGGAGGCCTTGTGTGTGTGTTGAAACACACTCCGTGAAGCCTGCCTCTTTCGTCTCCGTGCAGGGCAGCAAAATGGAGTCTGACCAACCAAGCAGGATGATGGCACAGATCCTGCAGCAGGGTTAATGGCAGTAGTAAGGAATCAAACACAAAGAGGTTAAACAAAAACTTCAAGGTAGCAGCAAGGGACCAGGCTAAAGAAGTCAGGCAGTCCCAGGTTAGCACAGAGGGTCCAGGTAACTCCAAGGGGTCACTGGACCCGAGACAACTGTGTGTTGTCCGTTGTTCTGAGTCACTGGCCTTTCACCTCCTGATAGCATCATGTTGGCACCATCCCCTAGAGAGGGACCCTTTCCCTTAAGCAGACTCTGATCCTTTCCAAGTGGTGACATCCCTCTGCATCGTAATGGTACAGCCCAATGGGGAACTGAGATAGAATGCCCAGATGTATATGGAGGCAGAGAGAGAAAGAGATGCTTCCAGGTGCTGGTGCTGTTCCAACCCATCACCAACAGCTAGGGGGATTCCCTCTGGAGCACCACAACACATTGGAAACAACAAATTCAGAGTCTTTGAAGAGCTGGGTGTGGGATTCAGGAGTCCTACCAACTTGCTATTCTGTAGCCCTCTGCTTGTGACTGACAGGCAGTCATGACACTTCACAGACAAATAGCACACCTGGAGCTACCAGGTTTTGACACTTGGTGGAAGCTGTTCCTGGCATGATGATGGTAAGATGTTGAGTCAAGCCAGAGTTCTTGGGTACATGTGATTTGCACCAGGATGTGAAGGCACACTCTCAACACACAAGAGTCTGTCTGAGAGAGAGAACGGGAGGACTTCCTTTTCAGGCCTGAGGTGTTTCCTGTTGCAGGGGTGTTGCCCGCTCCTGGGAGAACTGGTCACACTGCTGTTCCATGAGAATTAAGGGAACCATGAAGGCGGAGTTCAAAGGTGGTGAAGTTTCTGAAGGTGCAGCATAAGCATCACGGAAGCCTTTGCACACTGCACCAGTAAATGTGGCTTCCTTCATAAGGCGTCGGTCCCCCGGTGAGGTACAGCAGAGTACCATGACTGCAAGAGGTCAAAATCCTCCCCCCCTCTCCCCTCCTTAAAGAAATCAGCACTTCCTGTGTTGCTTCAGCTTCTCCGCAAAGAATTTTGGCAGCCTGAAATTCAGACGCTGAAGGTCTTGGCCGGCAAGGCTCAGGCTTCCAGGTTTGGCTGGAAGGTAAACTTTTAGATTGGCAGTTGAGGTGGGCATGCCCGCCAGTCCACTTTTTAGCACACAGTCAGTGATGGAGAAGCAGTGAACAGGAGAGTCCGTCTGGAGGGGGAGGTCCCGAAGGGCACGACGTGGTTGGGGCAGGGGTTGGGGAGGAGTGAGTGCTCACATGGCGCTGTAGGAGGGGGGCGGTGGCGGCGGCGGCGGCGGAGGGGGTGGTGGGGGCGGCGGCTGCGGTGGTGGGTACTGGGGCACCGGTGGCTGGCGGTACCAATGTGGGTTCCAAGTGATCATGACAGGCACATAGAGCGACCTCCCTTGCATGTCTCGGCCGACGGGGTACCAGGCGAATCCCACGGGGTAGGTGGGGTACGTGGTGTAGGTGGGGTGGTAGCCATGCACTTGAGGTACATATTCGGTGTAGGTCGCCAGGTGCGCTTGGTCCTCCAGGTTGGGAATGGACAGGCGAGGATACTGGTGCTGGATAGTGAAGTGGTTCGGAGCACGGCAGTCGTAAGACACCTGCAGCTTCCAGCCCCTCTTGACCTGCAGGACCTGGGCCCCGTTGGGGGCGACGGTGGGGGTGATGAGCCCATCCTTCACGTTCCTGGCCACGAAGTCTCGCAGCGCCGCCATCTCGGGTTCCGACAGGGAGTACACGTGCCCGCTGGGGATGCTGTGCGCGCCAGGGATCATCTCAATGTGGGGGTCCACCAGCCGGTGGTCAGGATAGACGTGTTCGTCGACGGGGGTGTAGACATTCTGCACGTAGTAGTAGCGCATGGGCTGGTACACGCGGTAGCCTTCCATCGGGTAGTAGAGGGTGTGGTGCGAGGAGGGCAGCGGCAGCGGCAGCGGCAGGTGCGCGTAGAGGCGGCAGTGGTAGCGGCAGTAATCGGAGTCAAAGACAATGGAGCGTGTGCTCCAGGTGATGTTGGGGTCGTGGGTGCTCAGCCAGCGCATTCCGAGGACGATGGGGAAGAATGGAGACTGAGTCACGTCGAATGACAGCACCTCGCGGTGGTCTCCCAGGTCTACGATCAGGTCATGTGTCTCGTGGACGATGGGGCCCGAGGCGATGGGGCGCCCATCGATGGCTTCCACGAGTATTGGCCAGTCCTTGATTCTCAGAGGAATTCCGTTTTGGGCGACATATTCGTAATCGATGAAGTTTCCAGAAGCACCAGAATCGATCATGGCTCGGACAAACAGAGTGTGTCGGCCCGGGAGATGGATCTGGAGCATGACTTGCAGGTGTGGTGATGATACCACATCATCTTGTGGGGACCTTATTCTTTCCGGCCCGGTCGCTGATGGTCCCTCTACAGCGGGGCCGGGGAGTTTCCCGCCGGTGGAGACTTGGAGGCCTTGGCAGGACAGTTGTCGGCATAGTGGCCGCCGGTGCCGCAGTAGAGGCACAGGTTCAGCTTGCGACGCCGCTCCTTCTCTTCCTGGGTGAGGCGCATGCGGGCGCCCCCCACGGGCTCGGTGGGGTCCACCTGGTGGTGGCCAGACACGTTGGGCATCACCAGCGCACGCGGCGGTGAGCGGGGCTTGCGCGCCGCCGCGGCCCGGGCCAGCCTCCGCTCGATGTGGATGCACTGGCCAATGAGTGCAGACAGGGTCTTGGCCGCCTCCAGGTGGGACAGCTCCTCTTGGATGTGGTCGCTGAGGCCCTCGTGGTACTGGTCGATCAGAGCGGGCTCGTTCCAGTCCAGGTCCTGGGCGATCATCTGGAACGCATTGGAGTAGTCGACCACCGACCCCATGCCCTGGCGCAGGCGACGGATCTTGCGCTTGGCCGCCTCTCGACGCTGAGGGTCTTCGAAGACATGTTTCAGCTCCATCATGAAGGCTGGGTAGTTGTGCATCAGGTAGTGGGATCGTTCCAGCTTGGCTGAGGCCCACCGTGCTGCCCGGCCCGTCATCATGCTGGTCACGAAGCAGACACGCACGCGGTCCAGGGAGAAATCTCGGGTGCTCTTCTCCATGAAGAGCTGGCACTGGGACATGAAGGGTGCCAGCATGTCTGGGTTGCCGTCGAACTTCTCCGGGAGGTCTTCGGGGCACTCCTCCTCGATGGGGGGTGGGGGAGCGGCAGCCGCCGCGGCCCCACGCAGCTCCAGCTCGTCGTCCTCCTCCTCGGGCTCCAATGGCAGTGGCAGTGGCTGTGGCAGTGGCTGTGGCTGCAGTGGCAGTGGTAGTGGCAGTGGCTGTGGCTGCTGTGGCAGTGGCAGTGGCTGTGGCTGCTGTGGCTGCGGCAGTGGCAGTGCCTGTGCCTGTGGTGGCTCCTGCAGCTGCTCCAGCTCTTTCTCCTCCTTTTCCTCCTCTTCCTCTGCGGGGGGCTCCATCTGCTCGCGCAGGCTGCTGTTCTCCTGGCTGAGCCTCTGCACCTGGTTCTGCAGGCTGCTGTTCTCCTGGTACTGGCGGCTGACCTTCTCCCTGAGGCTGCTGATCTCCTCCGAGATCTCCTCCCGCCTGCGCTCGCTCACGTTGGGCACGCAGGTGCTCTTGGGGCCGCTGGGCTTGGAGTTGTTGTTGTTGTTGTTGTTGGGGGGAGGGGGAGGGGGAGGCGGTGGGCAGTCGGGCCCCATGGCGTTGGTGGGGGTGGGAGGCGATCTCCTCGCTGACTCCTGGCTCCCCTGAGGATGGAGGCCCGGATCCTGGCCTCCTCTGGCACCCCTCCTCCTTTTGGTTTTCAAAACCCGCTTGTTTCTGTGGATGAATAAATAAAGATAAAGGCATACAATCCAACATACACATCATCCTAAGCAGCAACATCCAAAGAAGACTCCTCCCCCCATGCCCCTTAAGCTCCTCCCAGCACCCAAGAGGAAAACGCAGAAAACAGAAAGAAACGACTGAGCAGGGCAGATCACTAAAAATGGACATCACACTTTGATGCAGAATGCACTGTGCCACTCACAAGTCACTTGTCCCAATGATTCCACGTCAACAGCATGCTTCCCTTTCTCAGACTACAAACAAAGGCTGACACGCCCCCAAACAACACCTGTGAATCAGGAGAGCAGCAAGGAGCTCCCAGGCAAAGAGGCAAAAGGAAGCCAAAGTAACTTCTGCAAAGCCAGCTAGCAGTCTGTCCAAACAACAGGAAAGCATGAGAAAGAAGGAGGTACTAAAATCATGATGTGTGTATTCATCAGGCCTAGGGTCACAACCCTGGCCCACCTGCACAGAGAAGAACACGGAGCTTCAAATCACAACACCACTGTCACCAAAACCCCAAGACTGTCGCATTACTTTTCTGACAATTCAACTTTCCCAAGAGAACTCTCTTTGGGACAGAAATGACACCCCACAGCAATCCGTGCATGTCAGTGTTCCTCCTCAGTAAGCAATCATTCAATAAATATTAACTGTTGTCTCATCAGAGGCTGAAGCCCAATGATAATATATCCCAAACTTGTAATTAAGAGGTTTTCACTAAATAATGCAGGTAAATCACTGCATGAGAATGTCCACTACCTGTTAGTTGGCCTTAATAAAGTTATTAATTCAGAAATGGAAAAGTAATTTCCTGTGTAAAGGAAGGGGGTTTTAATGTGAAGCTCAGATGGGCTGCACCCTCAGGGAGTGAGTGAATGTGGGAGGGGGTGGGGCTGAGGGGTTGGGTTAGGGGCTGAGGGGTGGTCTGGGGTCCAAGGGGGTGGGCTGGGGGCTGAGATGTTTGTCTGGGGTCCGAGAGGGTGGTCTGGGGTCTGAGGGGTGGGCTAGGGTCTGAGGGGATGGTCTGGGGTCTGAGGGGGTGGACTGGGGTCGGAGGGGGTGGGCTGGGGTCTGAGGGGTGGTCTGGGGCCCGAGGGGGTGGGCTGGGGTCTGAGGGGGTGGGCTGGGAACTGAGGGGGTGGTCTAGGGGCTGAAGGGGTAGGCTGGTGTCTGAGGGGGTGTGCTGGGGTCCAAGGGGGTCCAAGGGGGTGGGCTGGGGCCCGAAGGGATCGGCTGGGATCTGAGAAGTGGGCTGGGGATTGAGGGGGTTGGCTGGGGTCTGAGGGGGTGGGCTGGGAGTTGAGAGTTTGGTCTGGGAGCTGAAGGGTTGGTCTGGGGTCTGAGGGGATGGTCTGGGATTTGAGGATGTGGGCCGGGGGCTGAGAGGGTAGGCCGGGGGCTGAGGGGGTGGTCTGGGGTCTGAAGGGGTAGACTGGGGGCCGAGAGGGCGGGCTGGGGTCCGAGGGGGTGGGTTGAAGTCCGAGGGTGGGGCTAGGGGCTGACGGGGTTGGCTGGGGTCTGAGGAGGTGGGCTGGGATCTGAGGGGGTGGTCTGGGGCCTGAGGGGGTGGGCTAGGGGCCCGAGAGGGTGGTTTGGGGTCCAAGGGTGTGGGCTGGTGTCCAAGGAGGTAGGCTGGGGGCTGAGACGTTGGTCTGAGGTCTGAGACGTTGGTCTGGGGTCCAAGAGGGTGGTCTGGAGTCCAAGAGGGTGGTCTAGGGTCGGAGGGTGTGGTCTGGGGTCCGAGGGGGTGGGCTGGAATCGGAGGGGGTGGGCTGGGATCTGTGGGGGTGGTCTGGGGCCTGAGGGGGTGGGCTAGGGGCCCGAGAGGGTGGTTTGGGGTCCAAGGGTGTGGGCTGGTGTCCAAGGAGGTAGGCTGGGGGCTGAGACGTTGGTCTGAGGTCTGAGACGTTGGTCTGGGGTCCAAGAGGGTGGTCTGGAGTCCAAGAGGGTGGTCTAGGGTCGGAGGGTGTGGTCTGGGGTCCGAGGGGGTGGGCTGGAATCGGAGGGGGTGGGCTGGGATCTGTGGGGGTGGTCTGGGGCCTGAGGGGGTGGGCTAGGGGCCCGAGAGGGTGGTTTGGGGTCCAAGGGTGTGGGCTGGTGTCCAAGGAGGTAGGCTGGGGGCTGAGACGTTGGTCTGAGGTCTGAGACGTTGGTCTGGGGTCCAAGAGGGTGGTCTGGAGTCCAAGAGGGTGGTCTAGGGTCGGAGGGTGTGGTCTGGGGTCCGAGGGGGTGGGCTGGGGTCGGAGGGGGTGGGCTGGGATCTGTGGGGGTGGGCTGGGGGGCTGAGGGGGTGGGCTGAGGGCTGAGGGAGGGGTCTGGGGGCTAAGGGGGTAGGCTGGGGTCTGAGGGGGTGGGCTGGTGTCCGAGGGGGTGGGCTGGGGGCTGAGAGGGTGGTCTGGGGCCCGAGAGGGTGGTCTGGGGCCCGAGGGGGTGGGCTGGGGTCGGAGGGGGTGGGCTGGGGTCTGAGGGGGTGGGCTGGGGTCGGAGGGGGTGGGCTGGGAGCTGAGGGGGTGGTCTGAGGTTTGAGGCGGTGGGCTGGTGTCTGAGGGGGTGGGCTGGGGGCCGAGGGGGTGGTCTGGGGCCCGAGAGGGTGGTCTGGGGCCCGAGGGGGTGGGCTGGGGTCCGAGACGGTGGGCTGGGGTCGGAGGGGGTGGGCTGGGAGCTGAGGGGGTGGTCTGAGGTTTGAGGCGGTGGGCTGGTGTCTGAGGGGGTGGGCTGGGGGCCGAGAGGGTGGTCTGGGGCCCGAGAGGGTGGTCTGGGGCCCGAGGGGGTGGGCTGGGGTCGGAGGGGGTGAGCTGGGGTCTGAGGGGGTGGGCTGGGGCCCGAGGGGGTGGGCTGGGGTCGGAGGGGGTGGGCTGGGATCTGAGAAGTGGACTGGGGACTGAGGGGGTGGTCTGGAGGCTGGGGTGTGGGCCGGGGGCTGAGGGGGTGGACTGGGGTCCGAGGGAGTAGACTAGGGTCGGAGGGCGTGTACCGGGGTCCGAGAGGGCGGGCTGGGGTCCGAGGGGGTGGGTTGGAGTCCAAGGGGGTGGGCTGGGGTCGGAGGGGGTAGGCTGGGATCTGTTGGGGTGGGTTGGGGTCAGAGGGGGTGGGCTAAGGGCTGACGGGGTTGGCTGGGGTGTGAAGGTGTGGTCTGGGGTCTGAGGGGGTGGGCTAGGGGCTGAGGGGGTGGTTTGGGGCCCGAGGGGTGTGGGCTGGTGTCCAAGGGGGTGGGCTGCGGGTTGAGACGTTGGTCTGGGGTCCAAGAGGGTGGTCTGGAGTCCAAGAGGGTGGTCTAGGGTCAGAGGGTGTGGTCTGGGGTCGAGGGGGTGGGCTGGGGACTGAGGGGTGGGCTGGGATCTGTTGGGGTGGGCTGGGGACTGAGAAGCCTGAGTGTCATGACGATAAATTACCCAGCAGCAGGTCATGACACACTGTCAGTGTACTTCCTGACAAGATGTTAAATATGTAAAGTCATTTAATTACTATGAAAGTGCAATGATCTCAAATCACATGGTTGGAAAACTCACATAGACAGCTTAAAAGTTTAAAATATAATATGTAAGATTAAAAGTGAATGTCCATTTAATTTAAAAAGTTTAGCTTTCTGAAAATTTGGCAAACTTTCTAAAAATTTAATAAACTTTCTAGATGTTTCTAGAAGTTTAGTCAACTTTCTAAAAGTTTAGCAAACTAAGTTTAACAAACTTTTGAGAAGTTTAATGAAGTTTAACATGCTTCCTATGAGTTTAATAAAACTTCCTAACTTAATTTTGAATGTGTAAAACTTAATTTAAAATGTGTAACTTCTAAATAAAAACATCAAAAACACAATGCCCAGCATCTGAAAGTTTAATATATGCTTTAATTTGAAAAGTATTAAACTTTTCAGCAAATGTATGAAAATTCAACTTTGTTCCTCTCTGGCCCACCTATGGGAAGGAACACCTTACAAATTACATAAAGCCAAAAAGGCAAGCATTTGTTATCTGGAGAAGTTAGGTGGAAAATGCCAACATCCCCACCAGCTAGGTCAAGAATTAAACAGTGGGGGAGGTGGTAATTAGACATGAAGCCTGTGTGTGCCAGCCCACCCCCGCTGTGGAGAAATGCCCCCTCCATCCTGCCCCCTCACCACTCTTAATCACTTGGACCCCTCCCCACAGCCATTTCCTCTTTGTCCAACACTGGTGGCATGGCCTTTTCAGCATGCCAGGTCCTCAAGGGACAGGGATCCATGTACTATTCTAACAGTGTAGTGACTTAATTACCTTAGTCTATTTTAGGCTCAAATACTTGAATTCAGAAAATATTAGAGGTTGTAATAAAGATGGCCAGTCATATCTAACTCCATGAAGATAAATGTAATGGTGACACAATAAAGCCACCATTATGCAATTTTTATTAATGAAAAGTTATTAAAATTGTGTTTATTATTTTATGATACAGTTCCATGAGCTTGTTAAAAGTTTTAATGTCCCATGAAAGTCAATTAATAGGCACAGATCGTATGACCAAGGTGTCACTTCTGTCATCTAGACATCAGAAACAATCAGCATAGTACAGAACAGCCTGATCAGGTTGGAAAGGCTAACCACCTTCATGTCTATCACAGTCACTCTGCCGGCTGTCCTGCGGCTTGGCTACCATGGCCTTGACACCTGCAAAACAACAATGGCGGGCTCAAGCAACAAACCATTAAGCAATCAATACATTGCCTACGGACACAAAGAATTGATAAGGATTAAACACTCAAATGCCTTTAATGTATACAAGGGTCACTTAAATGGGGAGTTAATAAACAACTGTGTAACTTGGGGGTACATGCCCCCCACTGATTTTTTTTAATTTTTTTTACATTTTTAAAAATTCAGTATGGCCAATTTCAAGGCTTTCATGTTTGGTGCAGAAGGTCACGAGTTAAAGACCTCTGACATTTACCAACATCAGTCCTCTGGCACTCACTTGACGGTTTACAATTTTAGAGTGGGATTCCTAAGTTCCAAAACTGTAATTGCCCAAAGCACAGTGGTTTAACCTTTACAAGTTAATTAGCATACTGGGCAGGCAGCTTAACAGTTAAGTACAAAAACAAATGTTTATAGAGTAAGTGGGCACCAAGGTTAAGGCGCCATAAGGAGAAAGAGCATTTTGACTTTATTTGCATGACAAAACTCTGGTTCCTTAACCCCCCCAGGGGGGCGGGGCAGGATTGGAAGGGCGTGGCCAGCAGAGCCCAAGGCTGACTGGAGAAGGGACTCCATGCAGCCGTGACACGTGGCCTGCAGCAGTACCATCTTCACAGAGGACAGTTACCTATTCACTTAGGAATGACATACATCTCATTAGTGATGGACGCCCCACAAGTTTTAAAATGTCTGTTTTCCAAACACACTAAGGAACAATAGGAGCCCAGAAGCAGCATTCATAAACAATACTTTAGGAAATGACATTTCATTAACCAATTATTAGTTATTCTACATATCCAAATGTCTGAAATTTTTGAGTACCATGTGACATTATTTGTGCCATGCAAATTCTACTAATATGCATGTTTTTTCCATTGTTTTGAACCTCTTTAATATGCAGAAGTGAATTTGTGAAGAGGAGGCACTCCAAAGCTCCTGTTGAGCGAGCACCATCCCCCCTCAGCCCAGTCTGGGCTCCAATGCTGTGACACACAGAACCAGGACTTTACATGTCACTGGTGCAAACCGAATCTTCACATGGTACATCTGACTGGCAGGAAATTTGATTTATACAATGTTTACTTATGCCAGCTGAAATAATCCTCTTTTCATAATGTAACCACTTTGTTACATCACATCAATGTAAAATAATGCCAGTATGCATCATAAATGATACTGTTGCCCAAATTTAAATTAGCTTTTTATGAAAAAAGCTAATCATGTGGGACAACTTAATTAGCTTTTTATGAAAAAAGCTAATTATTTGATATTTAAATATTTGGAATACTTAAATAATTAGCTTTTTATGAAAAAAGCTAATTATCTGGATAAATAACTAGCTTTTTATGAAAAAAGCTAATTATTTGGAAGCTATTTTATAATTGACATATTATTACAATTCAAAACACATACTTTAAAAAAGAGCGAGTCAAACACCTGAGGAACAAAAGTCAAAGCAGGTACCACTAAATAAATAGACTCCAGTCATTTACATACACTGATTGAATGCCTCCCACGTGCCAGGCACAGTTTACAGGAGGCAGGCAGACTGGCCAGGGCGGCGCCTGGTTACTCCAGGACCAACAACATCAACCCGTCTCAGAGCCCTCACAGGCGGGCCACCGCGAGCCAACCGACACCCCCAATCCAGATGGGTCCACTAGGGTCTTAAATGTGTACCTGGCTTTAAAATTCCATCTTTAATTGCAGTGAAAAATACTCGGCTAAATTGCCTTTAATGCAGGCAGCAGCCATGTCAGTCAAGACGTTTTCCACACCCAGAAAATTTTTCACATATGCAAGGTACTTAATAAAAGTGTTCATAAATGCCAAGTACCATTGCTACTGTTGGTTAATTATTCTCACTTATTATTATTCCATTTATTAGACACTAGTGGACAAGCAACAAAACCACAGAGAAACCGCAGAGGGGCGGGGCTGTGCACCTAGGCTTGGGCAATGAAGGCGCGCAGGCGCCAAGTAGTGGGGGGGGCTCGTGACTCTCACTGCGCAGGCGCAAGTAAGATCTGGAAGGGCGGGGCCTTGGGCCACCTCAGCAGAGGCAGGTCCAAGTAGGAACCATTCGGAGAGGCGGGGCCAGGAAGGCGGGGCCTGGGCCTGCCTCCTCGGGGGAGGGGCTGGGAGGAGGGACCAGAGCCTGCCTCCTCAGGGGAGGGGCTGGGGGGCGAGGCCAGAGCCTGCCTCCTCAGGGGAGGGGCTGGGCCAGAGCCTGCCTCCTCAGGGGAGGCTGGCAGCTGCCTCAGGGGAGGGGCTGGGGGCGGGGCCAGAGCCTGCCTCCTCAGGGGAGGGGCTGGGCCAGAGCCTGCCTCCTCAGGGGAGGGGCTGGGGGCGGGGCCAGAGCCTGCCTCCTCAGGGGAGGGGCTGGGGGTAGGGACCAGAGCCTGCCTCCTCAGGGGAGGGGCTGGGGGGAGGAGCCAGAGCCAGCCTCCTCGGGGAGGGGCGGGGCCTCAGGAGGCGGGGCCCGGGGGCGGGGCTCAGGCAGCCCGCGCTGAGGAGTCACGGGTGGAGGTGAGGCGCGCTCGAAGGGGGTGCAGGGGAGAGGGGGGGTGCACTCGGAGGGGGCGCGGGGAGGAGGGGTGCGCGCGGAGAAGCAGCTGCCGCGTCCAAGGCGCGCTCGGATGGGGGGGGCATGCCCGAGAGTGCTGCGTGGCTGCAGAAGAGCCGCACGCCTCCCCGGGACCCCCCAGCCCGACCCTCCCGCCAGCCCCCGCCAGCCAGATTCCTTCCACGCAGCCAGAGCAAGCGCCCCCAGACCCACCCCCGCCCCCCGCCCCTGCAAGCCGCCAGCATGCACAAACTGTTGCCGCACGCCAAGTCGCGCCACTGCCCGCAACCCTGCCCCGAGCGCCTGCAGCCGCTCCGCCCCTCGTCTCCTGCGGGAGCAGGGGGCGATCTCGGAGCAGGGCTCCTCACCGCTCGCCCGGGGGCTCCATTTTGTCTGCAAGACCGAGATCCAGCGGCCAGCCAGCCGTGCCGCAGAAAGACACAGCGCGGACCGTGCCCGAGACGTGCACGGAGCTCCGAGAGGCAGCCGAGGGCGGGCACCGTGCCCCGAGAGTCCCCGGGCACCCCGAGTCCGCACCTCGTGTACCTGGCCGCAGGGCGGCCGCGAGCCGGGCGAATCGTGCCGCGGCCCGTGTACCTCTGGGTCCGCGGCAAAAACCCGCGTGGGGTGGACGGCCGGTGCACCGGCAGCGCCGTCTAAGGCGCCAAGCTGCCCGTCAGTGCGGGGATCCCGGCGCGTGAAGCGCCCATGGGTCCGAGGCGCGTGAAGCGCCCATGGGTCCGAGGGTCCAAGGCGCGTGAAGCACCCGTGGGTCCGAAGCGCGTGAAGCGCCCGTGGGTCCCAGTATTCAAGGAGCGTGAAGCGCTCGTGGGTTTGAGGCGCATGAAGCACCCGTTAGTCCGATTATCCAAGGCGCGTGAAGCGCCCATGGGTCCAAGGCACGTGAAGCTCCCGTGGGTCCGAGGGTCCAAGGCGCGTGAAGCGCCCGTCTTTCCGAGGGTCCAAGGCACGTGAAGCGCCCGTTTTTTCGAGAGTCCAAAGCGCATGAAGCGCCCGTTTTTCCGAGGGTCCAAGGCGCGTGAAGCGCCCGTGGGTCCGAGGCGCGTGAAGCGCCCAGAGTTTGCAGCGTGCGTGCTTTCCACGACACGCGGGGCCGTCTGCAGCTCATGACCGTCCGCAGCTCATGTCCGTCGTGGGACTCGGGGGTCCGGCAGAGCCGTGAAGGCTGCCGGACGGGGGGGACACGGGGGTCTGGCCTCTCCCGCAGCTGCCTCGGAGACGAGAGCGGGGTACGGAGCGTGTAGACAAGAGAGCCATCCTCACCGCATACTCACCACGCGAGGACTCCTCCGCGGGGCCGGCCCGGCGCGGGGGGCTCCGCAGCCGGAGGGGGGCTCCGGCCGCGAGCGCTCCGCTCCGCGGGGCAGGCGTGAGGCGCGAGGCTCTCGGGGGTCGGCGGGCTGCGTCCGTGAGGGTCTCGAGGCTCTCCGGAGGGTTTCTTCGACACACACCAACCGAAGTTGAGGCGCGTGTACCCGGAGCGCCGACCGCGCGCCTTATATTGGCTGAAGCGAGGAGGGGGCGCCCAATCCCGGCGTGCTCCGCGGGCGGGGAGGGGGGCGGCGGGCGCGTGGGCGGCGGGGGGAGGGGCGGGCGCCGGCCCGCTTCCAGGGCCCGCCGCCAGGGGGCGCCCGCGCGCGGGGAGGAGGCGTGTGGTGGGGGGGGCGGTGGTTTGCGGGATGCTGATGCTCCACTGGCCAAGCTGGGAGGAAAAAAAAAAAAAGAAGAAGAAGAAGAAGAAAGGCAGGGCAGGGAGAATCGAGGACAGCCGGCCTAGGCAGGCCAGGAGTGCCATTGCCCCGGTGGTGGGAGCTGGGAGACCCCCGTGCTTGGACGGGCCAGGGTCGGGGGACACGCAGGATGAGCCCCGCGACCGCTGGCACATTCTTGCTGACAGGTTAGTGGCCTGCGCGCGGTAGGGAGGTCCCGACGAGGCCAGCAGGCCCGCCCGTCGCTCGCGCTCCAGGCTCGGGCTCCGGGCGCGCCCTGCCTGCGCCGCCCGCCCCTGAGGAAGCACCCCCCAACCCCCCGGGGCCCCCGGCCCCGCCAGGCCTGACCCTCGGCCTTGGCTGCACCCCCACACCCCCCCACGCGCGCGCTCCCGCCCCGCGGGCCCTGCCCAGGCCGCCGGGCGCCACATTCCAGCCCCGCGCCCCTCCCCCGCCCGGCCTGGGCCTCCGCGAGGCCCCCAGCCCGCCCAGAGCCGGGGGGCCCCGCCGCGCCCCCACCCCGGGGGACGGGGCGGCGGGTGGGCCGCGCGCGGGCCTGGGGAGATGGGTGTGGAGCTGCGCCCTGCCTGGCACAAACACATCTTTCTCGGGCTTTTTTTTTTTTTTTTTCCCCTTCCCTCCATCTGACCGAGAGCGAGCACTACTACTAAAACGGGACTTGAAACCTCCCGAATTCACCCCTCGTTCCAACGCTCGGTTCTTGGGGTGGGCTGGAGGGCCGAAGCCCCGCGTGTCTCAGGTTTTCACGGAGCGGGGAAAGCGGATCCTGAACCGCTTGGCAGCCAGGAAGGGCGGCGAGGTCAGGGCTGGCCCGGGCTGGGGGCCAGGGATGCAGGAACGAGCGCGAGCATTGAGAGCAGCTGCGAGCGCCTGCAGGCAGCGGCCAAGCTGCGGCGGGGAGCCGGCCTTTTCCACGCGAGCCCCGTGAAGGCGCGTGGGCCTGCAGCTCGGCGCCCCGACCCGCACGGCCGGCCGCGTCGCAGCGGCTAGCGGGGCTTCGGCCCCAAGCGTCTGCGCCCTTCCACGCAGCGATGTGCGTGTTGGACGCGAGGCCAGGTGGCGATGGCTGGCGAGACCCCGAGCTGCTGGCGAGGGAGAACGAGCCAAGCCCCGCGCCTGCACCTCCGCGTGCGGGGCGCAGCCAAAAGCCTTCCATCTGTGGATAACCCCTGCAGGAGAAGGAGCTGAGGGCGAAGGGGAAGCGCGAATGAGCCACAACTGAGCTAGATTTGAGAGGCGCACGCGAAACCCGAGGCTGAGCAGGTTTTAAGCAACATAGCCCCGGGAGTGTTCGCGGAACGTTGACCCGAAGTCTGCCCCCGCTGTCCGCGACCAGGCGGCGGGAGGAGCGCCTTTGAAACGGGGAGCCTTTCTGGTCCTCAAAAAATGTCAACCCCTTTATTGAGGTTTTGCTCCTTTTTGTTAGGACATAAAATGTTGGCCACCAGGAGAAGCAATGAATGGGTTGCAGATTTGCAACCACGGGAGGCGTTTTTCTAGAAAGTTAGCTGAAACATACTCCTCTGAACTGTCTTCTCAGTTCACATTTCAGGATGTTTAGCTTGTTTTATGAGATGGAGCGACTCCAGAATTCCTTCGGTTTGATGAGCCCACGGCTCTGGTGGTCGCCGTACAGAAAAATCCTTTGCCGGCTTTTTGTTGTTGTCCTTGCTCTTGTTAATCCGAAGTTACTTCACCTAGCTGTTACTTTTTTGTCCTCTAATAAGTGAGATTAAAAACCAGAACAGATAGAAACGGGGAAATCAGGTTTAAGAATCGATCCCAAGACTTTCAAAGTTTAAACCAAATTGCCTTAAGAGTTTTTTGTTGTTGTTGTTGTTAAACAACAACGTAGTCTAATTAGTATTTTATTTACAATGATAGTAATCCCTATCCATGATGTTAAATTCCACGGGGAAAAATCTAGAGAACAATAAGAAAGAAAATCCAGATACGTATAACGGCTTCAGCCTGCGATAACGTCAGTAAATATTAGTCTTTCAGACTTTGTCTCTGCACAGACACCTACAACAATATGTATTTTCATAGAGTTTGGGGTGTGTGTGTATACTTCCCAGAAATTAAAACTGAGATCTCCTTGAACTTGCGCTTTCCAAATGCCTTTCAGCCTGAGATAGCACTAAATCCAGATTTCTTCAAAAGAAATAGTGTCCGTGAACCTTTGCAATGGAAACTTAGATAAACAAGCTTAGTGCATAATTATTTAAAACCACAAAACAGCAGAATTTCTTCTGATCCCACTATTCTAACAGACAGCATTTTGGTGTGTTTTCTTATTCAATGCTAGTACACAGGAAAACATTTTCACTTTGCTTAGAATTATTATTTTTGAAGGGAATAAATAGCATCTACAGGCAAATAATTTAGACAGGACGTCTTTGTTTTCTAAATGAACAAAACAATATTAAAAACAAAACCAGACAACCTTAGTAGGCACGTATGCCAGACAATATGTTTGTGTTGTGTCAGACAAAAACAGCAATTCTAAAAATGAAGGAAAAAATTAATAGGCAAGAACTTTAAATACTTTTTAAACTTTTAATGTATGGGTGACTTTCTGTATTTTTTCAGATTCTAATCTCTGGCATTCACTATTTCTTATCCATTTTGTGCATGCAATGCAAAGAAGAGGTTAATATGAATTATTTATTTGATCAAATAATAACCAGGCTTTGCATGTTAACATTTTATCCGTTTTTGTAAGACTTTGCTGTCAAGATGCGGAACTGTTGATTCGTCACCCACGTGTGGCTTCCCCAGTGTGATGTGAAAATGGTGTTTCAGAACAAAGTAGAATTTTCATTTGTCCGACAACTAGTCTTTACATTTGTGTTTTTATCTGTTTTATGTTAGTTTTCTATTTTTCTGCGAAGCTGCTGATTCCCCTAGTGCATTTAGAAGAAGTTCTAGAATGGCAGGAACATTGTATTGCAAAACCAAACTGGAATTTTCACACATCAAATCATTAGCCTATTTGGACATTTTATCCGTGTTTAATGACCATTGGCCAGGGACTTATGAACCTGCTAATGACTCGTGTACATTTCAATTAATTTCCAGGATGGAAGGTAAAATTTCTTCCTAAGCAAAGCAGGATTCTTACGTGTCATGTGATAACTGAGTTGGGATTGATCACTTTAATCAATTTTTAACAGTTTGCCATGACTCTGAGAGTTACTGATTTACCTCATGCATTTGCCATAATTTTTAACACAATGAACAGATCATATTTTTAAGCAAAGTGGAGTTTTCATTTGTTTCACAGGCATTGAAAACAGCACCAGGAAAAAAAAAAATCATTAAAAACAACTTCAAAGAGCTGAAGATGCCGTACATCTAGTTTCTAATCTCGGTTTTCCAGTGATGCAAGCCATGCGCTGATGTGGGTCTCAGGGTGATGGAGCAATCCAAGCCTGTAAAGAATTCTCCAGCCCATCCTGGAGATTGTTTTAAATCCTCAGTACAGTATGTACGGGTCACATTTTCTCACAAACAACTTCTTTTCCTTTTTTCTTTTTCTTTTTTTTTTCTAACTGTAATCCTTGCACATACTCAATGCACATATCTCTGGGAGCGGCCTCTCACTTGTTTGCTCCTCGGAGTGTCAACAGCCAGCCTGCGTCAGTAGGTGATCCAGGGGGTCAGAGGTCTGCCCCGGGTTCTCGGGCTGGAGCTAGAAGCCCCCTTTACACTTTGCCCTGTGTTCGTCCAGAGCTGCACGGCAGCGTGGACCAGGCGGCTTTTCTCCCCCGCCACCTCCCCAGTTGTCTCGGACAGACAGACGGACCAGGGTGCACACGCGCGTGCACGCAGCCCAGGGCTCTTCTAAAGCGAGTCAGGATCCAGTTCTGAATCTCCCATATCCTCCCCGCACACACCCCACCTCCAGAAATGTTGGGCCTAAAGCAACAATGCAAAATTCAAAAAGAGAAGCCAGCATTTCTGAGACTCAACAAGTCTGTTCCATCCACCGTTTTTCTGTGTTGTTGTGGATAGGTGGGATGAGAGAATCTGACTGCTCTTCAGGCCGTTTCTCCCGAATGGCTTCCAGATCAGATTCTCCTCATAATTCCCAGGGCTTTGATTTTTTTTTTTTTAAACAATGCAGTTTTATATTAAAGGCAGTGTTGAATAGAAAAAAAAAAAAAATAGGAAAGCCCCCGGACGCAGCTCCGCCGCCGGGCTCTGGAGTAAACGCTTTCACAGATGCTCTTTCTGCTGCACACTGTTCGGCATGCATGCATATTTTGATATCACTATAATTTTTATGTATATGTCAATTTTTTTCCCACTTTGTTTTGCTGTTTGGAAAGAGGAGCCAGTCCGACTTTGAGCGAAGCGTTTGTCAAGGCTGCAGGGTGCTCCTGGGTGTGTGTGTGGAGCTCCGCAGAAGTGCTACGTGAGCCAGAGGCAGGCTGAATAAGCCCTGGCCAGGTGTAGGGTTTGCCTGGCCTTGGGTCAAGGAGAGCTCCCTGGTCGGGTCACACACCTCTGCCCTGGCTCTCCCTTTCCTCAGCAGTCATACTAATGACTTAGATGATGATCTGGGAGCCCGCTGTTAAAATGCATGGATGACTTGGAAAGACCCAACTGTTACAGATAACAGAATTTAGAGTTAATACAATTCACATAGGCTGCGATTCTGTGCCGAGTGTGAGACCTTAGAGCGGCAAATGCATCCTAGTTCATTGGCGTGGAAGGAAGGACGTGACTGTGTTGGGAGGCTCGTGTGTACCAGTGGCATGATAGAGCTGCAAAAAATAAATTCCAAGCTGGTAAAAGTAGAGTGTCCATTTGTCACAGAAATTAATAGTACTCTGCTCTCATCAGCCACGTCTGTGATCCTGTGTCCATTTCTGGCTGTCACATTTAAAGAGAGACATTGACAAATTAGACAACTTCCAGAGCAGTCCGTGGGGATGGAATAGGGTCTGCCAAGGATCTGGAAGTATTTAGCGGAGCGGGAGTCCCTGGCCCTCCTGTCTGCCCGACAGAGCAGCCCAGCAGCGGCAGTGTGTGAGAGGTACTCATCTCAGCTGGGGAACGTTGCAACAGCTAGCACAGTGCCCCAGTAAGCCAACTTTTTAGACATGATCAGAAATAGTCACATTTCTTGCAAGGAATCCTTCCTTTGAAGGCCGTGATA